AGAGAGAGAGAGAGAGAGAGAAGGGGGGGGGAGGGTAATCAAATGACAACTTCATATATTGTGATAAATGTAAGAAATTTTACCGATATTGTTTCACATGGTTTTTCTCGTGGCATTTAATGTATTGATAAATATATATTTGTTTCACAATGTAATTACCTCATATGCATTTTTTTTTATTAACCCGGATATCCAACCCGTTATGCGAGCTGACTAATCACATGACGACCACCTGCTTTGCAGATAGCCCGGAGTCACTGCATTTGAACCTCCGTGGCCATAAGGGGATTTTTATTCCTCCTTGAATTTGAACCTGAGACCTCCTAGTACTTTTGGCCTTTGAAATCAAGCTCAAACTAATCAGACATCACCCTTGTGATTATATACATTCTTTTTTTCCGTATAGCTGTTGTTTCAACCGAACAAAATAAGAAATTTGACACATCATCAATAATTTTTTTTTTGTAAAAGAGAAATAGTTTGCAAGCATAGGTACATGTTTTATTGTACTCATGCTTTCACGATTTGTCTTTGCTGGTTTTCTTGCAAATTGTGCTGTCCTTTTTGACATTTTTATATAAAAATAATTTATTTTTAATGAAAGAAAAAGATATATATATATATATATATATATATATCGGATTGGGTTCACGTGAGACCAGACTGTTTTCGTGAGACCCGTGAGACCACATTTTTACACTTGAAACTTCACAGCAAAAACACTGTGAAGGTTTGTGAAGGTTTAAAAAAGTCGAACCTTCACAGCAAAAACACTATGAATGTTAAAAAAAGTCACCTTCACAGCATTTTGCTGTGAAGTTTCAAGTGTAAAAAGGTGGTCTCACGGGTCTCACGAAAACATGTTGGTCTCACATGATCCCAAGTCTCTCTCTCTCTCTCTCTCTCTCTCTCTCTATATATATATATATATATATATATATAAAGAGAGAGAGAGAGAGGAGGATGATCAAACGAAAACGGTACTTATTTAAAAGAACACAAAAACGGAGAAATCACGTGTAAAATCACATGTGATTTTACGTTAATGGTCAAAAAAAAGTGCCCGGACCACTTGTGGTTGCATCTTTAGGTCGCAGGGCAATGTCCGCTGAATCACATGTGATTTTGTATGTAATGTTAGGGGCTGTTCGGTTGCGGCTTATTGGGCTGTATAGCCCATATAGCTTATTCGCTCAGCCATAAATGACTATTCAGTTATGGCTTAATCTGGAAATCAAGAGCTTATTTGGACAGTTTGAGAAGGGCACTTGTCTACATTCAACCAAACTTTTTTACTTAAATACCCTTCTTTTAATAAACAATCCCATCCTCAATAACATCTAAAATCCCACCAACAATTAAAGATTTGATACTTGACTTTAATTTAAAGATTTTAAATTTGAAAAAGTATTAGGGCTTGATATTTTTAAAAATGAAATTGTTCTAATTTGGTTACATAAATTTGTTAAACAAGAAAAAATGTTGATTTTATTAACCGATCTAGACCGTTATGGTTGTGATAAAACGATGGCATATTTGTAAATAAAGGAAAAAGAGAGCGCCTGTGAACAAGGGTAACTTTGTAAATTGGCTAAACACAACGAATTGGAAGGAAACCCATGATTAGCATCTTTTTCTTGGTTAACAAATGAAGCGGAGTATATAAATAGAGAGAGAGGTAGGTTCAAGGGAAAACCTTAAATAAATGAAAAACTAAAAATCAATACAAGGGTGTGTGGCGATGTGGTCGGCGACCTCAGGTCGCGTGAATCACATGTGATTTTACACGTGATTTTAGTATAAAATCACATGTAATTCGCCTAATTTTCATATTTAGGTATTGTTTTCGTATGAACATACACACACACACATATATATATATATATATATATATATATATATATATATATACCCATCATAACGAAGAATCGTGTGAGAATAAGAGTTGAGAATCAAATAAGACTAATCAAATGAGAATCATAAAACTGTTGAGAACTACGAAAACTAGTTTTCATATCTTGTTTCATATAGATGTTGTCTCACGGTGTGATTATTTTTATTCTCTATTTTTTGTATTTGTCTCATATATATTGTACAACACTTTACATTCAAATGCATTGTTTCATAATGTAAAACATCATATGATTAGCGATTGTCATGGTTCTCAACATTTCTGTACTTTTCATTTGATATGTATATACATTTTTATAGTTCTCATTATATATATATATATATATATATATAGAGAGAGAGAGAGAGAGATATGTGAGTTATTATGCAACCTTTTACATTCCTACAACCTTTACAACCGAATCATAAGCGTCCATTTGATCATCAATAGTTACTATCTGACTAGTTGTAACTACCCTTAATTAAAAAAAATGGATGATGAATAGGTGGGTTGCATCGGTTGTGTAATCTAGAGAGGTTGTATTTGAACACCTCCACTCACTCTCTCTCTCTCTCTCTCTCTCTCTCTCTMTATATATATATATATATATATATATATATATATATAGAAAGAGAGAGAGAGAGATTTGTTTTTATTTATGAACCGCATATATTGATGAATAGGTGGGTTGCCAGTTAGTCGCCGTTTACCAAACGCTTACTCGAGTAAGTGCTTATCAAGTCACATTACCTCATCGGATGAATATGGTAAGGACCAAGAATCTTACCCGGTTAAAGCGAGAAAAGAACCAAGAGTCTTACCCGATAGGTGAGGGCAGCGACTTTTACCACGATAAGCATTTACCAGGTAAATTGTTGCATGCGATGTCGTTTTTATGGACTTAAATCTTGCCCAATAAGTAAATAATAGTGTTAAATTTTATTGGTAAGTATTTGGTAAACAGCCCCTTACTCGTCATGAGTTAAATAAATATTCATAAATAATATTATGATATTCATTATCAGTAGTTAGTTTTTACAGTTATTAAAATATTTACAGTTCTCAAATTAATATATTTTAATTGTTTAGAAATTAGATTAAACTAAAAAACCCTAAAAAACAACCAAAAAAGACAAGAAGACAAGAAAAAAACCCACATAATAGATGTGAAAATAGGATGGTAGCCCCACCAAGTACCATGTGAAAATCTGATTTTAGTTTTACAGTTTTAGAGCAAGAGGAGTGTTTGTTTACCTCTCAGTAGTTTTATTAAAATATAGCTTTTGAATAGTTAAGAGGTGAATCTCGTTTGGCTAAAAAAGTTTGTCTCTTAATTGTTCTAAAACCATCTGAATATTTTTGTATCATGGGTCTCCCTTAACCATTCAGCGCCTTAATGTCATTGTAAAAAAATATCAAACAATTTATACTTTATTTTTCACTATATCATGAGAGCCTCTTAATTATTCTGACCACTTAATCATTCTACACCAAACCATTCAACAACTGCCAAATAGTAATTTTAATATGAGAAATTAGCTCAAATGACCATTTCTTTCATCCAAATTGGTTTTCTAACAATCACTCTTCCGGTTTGATCCAAGTGTCATTACATCCACAATATACAAGTCCGTAATTGCTAAAAGACAAAAAAGGTCAAATTCAATTAAAACACCGTCGCAATTGCAGACCTGGCCGTCACAATTGAATATCTAGCTGTTGCAATCGCATATCTGTGTTGAATTTGAATTGCGGAAGTAGCAACATTTGGGTCAACCCGGGAAAGAAATTGTTAGAAAACCAATTTGGATGAGGGAAATGGTCAATAAGAGGCAGCCTCTAAATTGTTAGGAGATGAATCTTGTTTAGCAAAAATAAAGTCAGTCTTCATGGTTTTCAAAACCCTCTGAATGATTTTGTATCATGAGTCTTCTTAACCATTCAGTTCCCTAATTTCATTGTAAACAATTTCCAGACAATTAGATTTCATTTTGCATTATATCATGAAAGTCTTTTAATCATTCTGACCACTTAATCATTTAGCACCAAACCATTTAGCAACCGTCAAACATCCTCTAAATTGTTTTTAGATTTTTTGAACACGGGCCATCAGAGAGGAAAAATCCACTATATAAAAAGTTATTACAATCATATACTAACTTATCTTTCTATACTTTATAACAAAAAAAGAATCATATATTTAAAATGCATTTAACCGTATCACTTTGAAATCAAAACCTGAAACTCCTCTTACAGATGAGTCAATTTCAGTATTTATTACTCCATCTAAATCTGATATTCTTTCAAACAAATTCTCAAACAGAACTATGAAATAAAATGTTGTACTGTCAAAATTAAAAAAATCATATAAATATTTTATAAGACAATACAGATAAAAAACGAAGCCTATAAAACAGAACAAACCGATCGAATTCGAGGTTTTGACAAACCAAAAGTTGACCTCTAAGATGCTTTAATTAGGTATACATGCAATAGAAAAGATAGCACATGAAATTAGATAGACAACACAAATTGTAGCCATATTTTTAAAGTAACATTACACCACTTGGTTAATTGTCAAACCAACAAGACCGATCATATAAAACCAAACATACCCAGTATATCTGTATCATTTTGATGTCTAATTACGTGTAATACTGTCGAGAGTTTTTTTTATATTACTCAATGTGTTAAAGTTGTGTGGGTGGACATGCACTGTATGGTAATACTGTAACCGTCGAGTGTTTTTTTGTATTAAATTGAATTTCTTTTGGCTTTAAGTTTATTGAATGATGTTGTGATTTTATTCACATATGAATATTTGATACTCTATAAAAGCAATATATTGAAAATATGTGAGATTTACACATGAACTGTTTTGGATTGAGTTTGTTATTTAACACATTTGGTTTAAAATCTTTGAAAATAAATGGGGAAAGAATCACCAATTCAAGTTTGGGACAAAGATTGGGATCGGGGACGGGACGAGGATTGGGGTCCCTGTCCCATCCCCACCCACTCACATGCCTAGTATATCCCACTCAAAAACAGTAGTCGAAAGATGGATGTAAACAAGCCTACCGAAACATCCTACTTAGAAAATTATGATACTTGACACAAGTCACTGCACGAGATGTAGTAAAAAGCCCAATCCTGTCCCTGAACCAAAAAAGCCCACCCTAGTAAGCCCGAAGCACGAGTCAGGTCAAGCCAACCTAAACATAGCCAAAAACCGGTCCTAGGCCGGGGCAGACTAAGCCCAAATTAGTCTTGGTCCCAAAAAAGTGATCCTGTGACCGGTCCCCGCGTAACCGGTCCCAACCCAAATACGAAGGCTAAGGTGTATAAGGCCCGATTATGGGAACGAGTCCCGGTCCCAGTCCCGTGCCGGGCCCAAACAAGTCCTATGTAAAAAAAATTAAAATTCAATTTTTTACTTAATTTTTTTGAAATTATTTTTGAAGAATACAAAAGTTTTATTTTAATACACTTGAAAATGTGTAACTAGATCAATCAAATACAATTAAAAAATAAGTTTTACGTGAGAATTGTGAGTGTTTGTGAATTGGTATCTTCCCTCATATACCAGATGAGATATATAGCGAATAGAGATTAAAAGGACAATTAAATACACTTAAAATTTATATTTTATTATAATTTTGTATTTTGTTTTCAATCAAATACACTTTGAAAATTAGAAATACATTTTTTTGAAAAAATATGGCCGTCCCCGTCTGGGCCTTGTTTTTGACGAAAACCATAACCAATGGTCCCTGGCCAGGCCGGTCCCAAGTCAGTCCCGATCCCAGACCTCCACCGATCCTGGGACAGACCGGGCCCATTTGGCCATCTCTAGGCTAGCCTCAAAGCCAATCCGACCGAAATTTTGGGGGCAAGTTTGGTCCTAGACGGAACAAAAATGCCTGGTTAAGCCCAAGAAATCCCAACTTGAAAAAGCCCGATCAAGCTCTTCTTCAACCCCAAAGCTTAGTTCGGCCCTATCCAAGCTTAAAAAATCCCGTGTATTTTTTATTCACCAAAAACTGGTTTAGAAGACCCTGGCCCAAAAAGCCTAGGCTTAACAAGCCCGAAGCACCAGTCGGGTCAGGTCGAGCTTGAAGCCTAATCAGGCTGAAATTTTGGGGAAAGCCCGGCTTGAAAAAACCCGATCAGACGCTTTTTCAACCCTAAAGCCCGGTTATGCTCAGTCCGGGCCTATAAAACCCCCGGCCATTCTTTACCCACTGAAAACTGAATACAAGCTCGGAATTCCCGGGCCCAGTCCCAAAAATTTCCGATCCTTATGTATCTCTAGTCACTACTAAGCCATCCTACCTAGAATTTGATTAAACCGAAAACCAATCAATCAGAAAAACCTTGGATCTTTAGCAATGTCATTAGATAATTGTAGTATTAGGTTTTCGGTACATGATAAAGCTGAGTTAGAATGTCCGAGCAAACTTATTTTTTCTCCGGAAGCTTCTCTAACAACTCGGGTATTACTTCAAAAAGATCGCCTACAAGTCCATAATCGGCAACCTGCACTTGGAGAATACATCATCAAGAGTATTAGAACAAGATACAACCCGAATTACTAGAATGAACCAAATCACCAAATGCAAAAGCCAACAACAACCGATAACAAGAGTAAAAGAAGGGGTTCGGCCATTCAGCCATGACCTGAAAAATGGGGGCATCGGCATCTTTGTTTACTGCAACGATGACTTTGGAATCTCGCATACCGGCTATGTGTTGGATGGCTCCAGAGACACCAAAAGCCATATACAGATCCGGGGCAACAATCTTGCCGGTTTGGCCAACCTGACGTAAAGGCATATCATATAAGGTTAGGTCTATGTATATCCCGCCCCCAGACCCCACCTCCGAGTAGGGGAGGATTCAGTATTCATTAACAGCCTAGGGGTGCCTGTGCCCCTCTCTTATCACACAATGGAAAATCTATTATTGGTTTCAAAGGTGCACCTGCAAATAAATGGTTATTAGGATGTTCCTCAGTTTTTCATTTTTTTTTTTTTGCGGTTTTCCCCTGAACCTAACCTTATTCAGCTAAATAGCCATGGGAGGACTATTGGTATTTACCTGGAGCTCATTGGTAACGTATCCCGCATCAACAGCCGCACGAGTAGCACCAACTACACAAATAAAATTACAGACGAAATCATACAAGTTACAACGGGTACACAAAATCTTGCTAATACTTTCATTCTATGATTCAAGAATCACGAAAAATAGTATTGTGATTCTTATAAGATTCATAAATAGACAACTATGCATGAAATAAAGGATGAAAGAAGATAAGAACCTGCTGCACCAAGTTTTTCCGCGAGTTTTTCGATTATTTTAAAGTTTTCAGCACTTTTGAGAGCTCGTCCGCCTGTGATAACAACTCGTGCACTTCCAAGATCCGGGTGTTCTGATTCTTGAGTGGTTTGTTTCACAAATCTAGAATTCCCATCTATCAAGAGTCGATTTCAGTATCTTATAGCATAACCAAACCAACCTAGTATATTCCACCTGGAGGGTGGGTCAGTGGTTAATGAGCTTAATGAGACTCACAGCTTAATGAGCTTAGTGAGACTCACAGCTTAATGAGCTTAGTGAGACTCACAGCTTAATGAGCCTAGTGAGACTCACAGCTTAATGAGCTTAATGAGACTCATAGGGGGGTTTTTCCACCTTTTTCCAATTATGCCCTTCCTACTAAGTTTTCAACATGTCTACCTAGGTCATTTAGGGCTTGTTTCAACTTAATGAGCTTAATCAGACTAGCAGCTTATTCGGTCAGCTACACATGACTTTTGGTAGTGGCTTAATGATATAAAAAATGACTTATTCACTAAGCTTCTAGAGAGGAGATTTATGCAGAAAACCAGGTTTTTTCGAAACTTGCCCCTCCCAATTGAAAAACACCCTCCTCCCAAACAAAAACCTTTCCTATCTATACAGACGGATTAAATCAATACAGACAACTTTATCCATACAGGACTTAATGGAAAACCAACCAAACAGCCCCTTAAGATGTACGTAAATCTGAGCTCTACCCCAAAGATTAAAGTGGTTGTTTCCATGAAGACCCCTAGCTAAGAGAAACCAACAACATACAAATAAAGTCATCAATATCTTGGGTAAATAGATAAAAATGCACACAAGCTAAACAAGCCAAACAGACCCAGTTTGTCACATTGAAAGTAGGGTCCCACCCTGGGGTGACACGAACCTTACCTCTACCCTAAGGGTATGTTTGGTATCCAGACAAAGACAAACGCAGGACATAACAGGATAGAACAATTGTTCAACGCTTGGTAAGACAGAACTAGATTAACATAACAAATAAAAGGACCAATTTACCCCTAATGAGTTGTTTATATCCTTTTTATATTTAGATTAATATATTTAATTTATCAAATTATGATAAAATAAATATTTTTATAACAAAATGTACATCAGTAAGTTTCTGTCAAGACGATTAAAATGACACCAAAATAAAAAGTTTATCCAGTATCCAATTTTTATTTTATACCTTTTCTATATTATTTTATTATTACTAATATTTATAAAATTACTTAAATTGACGAAAATATAGAAACCGTATAAAAATAATATTTTGAGGACAATAAATTGAAAATTTAAAGAGCCTAAAATACAATAAATAAAATTTAAATAGTGAATAAAAATGTAAAGGAGATATATTTGATGTTTTAGAAGAGAATTAAATTTTATTTTGAGGTTATATTCATAAAATAATTTTGTTCCACCCTCTTCCATGGGGTGAGGGTGGAATACGCCTGTTCCACTCTGTTCCATATAAAAGTCCTGTCAAACATGCCAAACATGGAACAGTGATCCTTGTTATGTTATGTTTTGTTCTGTCCTGTGTACCAAACGTACCTTAAAGTGCAAAGAGACGGTTTCCATCTTTTTAATTTTCAGTATATAACAATAATCCTTGCAACAACACGTATCCAGGCTCTGCTAAAAGTTAATTAACAAACCTTCGCTAAAAGTTGATAGATCAACCTGGTGTATTGGTGCAGCACTAGTTTTAGAATCAGGTGAAACCGAGGCTGCCGGAAAAGAAGTCGTCCTGATGGTCAACATGCAAGGATCCGAACCAGTATACCGAACAGTACATAGAGCATTGCCAGCATATATTGGCCTGTCATAAAGATGAAATTGGAAAAAAGAAGACTACTAATTAGGGAAATATAAGGGCATGTTTGTTAGTAGCTTAACGAGCTTAATGGGACTCACAGCTTATTCGGTCAGTTATACATGATTGTTTGGTAGTGGCTTAATGATATAGAAAGTGGCTTATTCAGTAAGCTTCTAGGGGGAGCTTTATGCAGAAAGCCAAGTTTTTCCAAACCTATCCCTCTCAATTTAAAAACATATTCCTTCCATCTATGAAAAACCCCTCCCAAACAAAAACATTCGCAAACTATACTGACAGATTAATCCACACAGACAACTTTACACATTGGGGCCTGCTTTTAGCAATTTAATGGGAATTGCAGCTTATTCGGTCAGCTATAAATAACTGTTTGGTAGTGGCTTAATGATATAGAAATTGGCTTATTCAATAAGCTTCTAGAAGGAGCTTTATGCAGAAGGCCAAGTTTTTCCAAACATATCCCTCCCAATTAAAAAACATGTTCCTTCCATCTATGAAAAAATCCTCCCAAACAAAAACTTTCTCAATCTATATAGATAGATTACTCCACACAGATAGCTTTACACATACAGGACTAGGTCTGTTCGTTAGCAGCTTAATGAGCTTAATGGGGCTCAGATCTTATTTAGTCAGCTATACATGACTGTTTGGTAGTCGCTTAATGATATAGAAATTGGCTTATTCAGTAAGCTTCTAGAGGGAGCTTTATGCAGAATCCCAAGTTTTTCCAAACCTGTCCCTCCCAATTAAAAAGCATGTTCCTTCCATCTATGAAAAAACCCTCCCAAACAAAACTTTCACAACCTATATAGACAAATTAATCCACACATACAACTTTATTCATACATGACTTAATGGAAAACCAACCAAACAGCCCCTAATGTTGCTTCAGATGCAAAGACTAATTATTATTTTATAAAACCAAACGAACTCAGTATTTCCCACACATAAATAGGGTCCGGATAGGGTAGGATGTACACAAACCGTACCTCTACCACAAGACCTTGTTTTAGATGATGTAATAAAATTAAAAAGGCCGAAAAAAGGCAATTGGGTTTCACAAGAACAAATCAGTTGGAAAAAGATGGATCTTTATTGTTTGTTAGCAGCTTAACAAGCTTAATGAGACAACTTATTTGGTCAGCTATACATGACTGTTTGGTAGTGGCTTAATGATATAGAAAGTGGCTTATTTAGTAAGCTTCTAGGGGGAGCTTTATGCGGAAAGCCAAGTTTTTGCCGAACCCGTCCCTCCCAAAAAAACAGGCTTCTTCCATCTATGAAAAATCCCTCCCAAACAAAAATCTTTTCAATCTATACAGACAGATTTATCCATGCAAGTCTTAATGGAAAACCAACCAAACAGCCCCCTAGCATGGTCTAGAGAGAGAACAAAAACCAACAAGTACCTCACAAATGTTCGAGATTCTGATATTTCAATGACATCAGTAACCGGTGAGACATCAAGAAGGGCTGCTGCACGAGGTAATACATTTTTCCCGAAAGAGCCTGAAGCAGCAACTATATGCGAGTATTCACCTTTTTGCTGCATCAAATAAACTAATCTGGCCCATGGTTCTGCTAGAGGGTGTTTAAATTTATCAGAATCGGCCACAAGCACCTGAACAAGAACTTCCGACTATTAGAACATTAAGGGTCTGTTTGTTAGCAGCTTAATGAGACACAACTTATTCAGTCAGTTATGCATGATTGTTTGGTAGTGGCTTAATGATGTAGAAAATAGCTTATTCAGTAAGCTTCTATGGAGGAGTATGCAGAAAGCCAAGTTTTTCCAAACCTGTCATTCCAATTAAAAAACATGCTCCTTCCATCTACAAAAAACCCAAAGATAAATCCGCACAATTAACTTTATCCACACGGGACTTGATGGAAAACCAACCAAACAGCCCCTAAGACATTACAATTTTGGGGAAAAAAGAGTATTTCCCACAACACGTTACAATGATCTAGCATGTATATTCTCGAATATTAAAACATTCCAGTCTAAAAAGATTATACATTACCTATAAGTAATCATTTACACGTTAAATTTCTTGCATAACCAACCACCATAGGCCGCCGATTCGAGTCTCCTCAGGTGCACTAGGGGATTTTCCTGATTGTTATCTTCAGAGGCGGACCTATGAAGACCCCAGCGGGTCCCGTGCACCCGCTCAACCGATTTTCACAATTAGCATTTTTTAGGGGTATGAAAAGTGCACACGCTGAACTGTGACGGGTGCTCCAGGATATTAAGAAAAGACAAGGGACATCAACTAAAAAACCTAAAATGTTCCTCAAACTCAACCAAAAAACGAAAAAGTCTCTCGAAATCAACCAAAAAACAGAGAAAGTCCCTCGATATCAATGAAAAAACTTAAAAATTCCCTCAAAATTAAGGAAAAGACTTAAAAACCCCTCGAATTAGTGGAATTTGGCTAAAAACACATCAGACGATTTTGCATGCCTTTGATCCACATTAAAGGTGCAGAGGTTCGACAAAAAATCCTGGGTCCGCCGCTGGTTGTCTTCAGGGCCCCTTGGGGATAATCGTGTGAAGCTAGCCCAGACACCCACAGTTACCCAAAACAACATAAAAGCAATCGATAAGAAATTCAACATTATAAATCACCTGAGAAATGGAAGGATGGCATGAAGCAGCCTTTGCAGCAGCCTCGTGTAAGGACGGGCCTGTCCCAGCCAATAGCAAAGATAACGAGCTGTCTTTATTCAAGAACTTGCTAGCAGCCTCTACCGAACTCAAGGAAGTGGAAGTGAGTGAACCGCCTTCATGTTCTGCTATAACTAATGTTCCAAGCTGTTACAAAGTTTTCAGAACAGATCAGCAAGTATGTATCGAATCCGTAAATGAATTATACAAGTACTTCAAAGAAGGTTAAATTATGGGCCAATGGCAATACAAAAAGGATATATTACAAATGAAAATTGCATTTTCACACTCTGAAGTAGGGGTTAGGGTTAGTGAGTCGGTAGTTAGGTTTTACGTTTTCCTATTCTTGCCTCTATTTTTATCACTATCCCTGATTTATATCCAGCTTTTTTTTTATTAATCTGGATATCCAACCCGCTATACGAGCCGACTAATCCCAGGGCAACCACCTGCTTTGCAGATAGCCCGGAGTCACTGCATTTGAACCTCCGTGGCCACAAGGGGATTTTTATTCCTCCTTGTATTTGAACCTGGGACCTCCTGGTACTTTTGACCTTTGGAGTCAAGCTCAAACCAATCAGGCACCACCCTTGTGGTTTATATCCAACTTTTTAAAATTTAAGCTTACTTGTTTTTCTCTTTTTCACACAATTCCCATAAGCAGGGAGTCTTCATGGAAACAGTTGCTTACTCTTCACGGTATAGGTTAGGTCTACATACATCTTACCCTCCTCAGACCCCACTTGTAGGTGGGATTTATTGGGCTCATTTGGTTTGGTTTCATTTACATCCTCAAGTAAAAACTATAACATCCCAGGCTAACCGTACTAGATATTGTCCACTTTATCCACACCTAGACTGATGGTTCTAAAACGCATCTGATAGAGGAGGTATCCAGTTCCTTATAAGGCAACCTTTGTTCCCCTCCCCAATTGATATGGGATCTTACAATCCACCCCCTGGAGTCCAGCGAGGACGTTGGCACATCAGTCCGGTTCCCGGCTCCGATACCATCTGTAACACCCCAAAGTTCAAAGCAACAGGTTGGCCCGCCCAAAAAAATTCAAACGGTGGCACCATTTGACTATCAGAAACAAATATAGAGAGATTTTTCACAAAATCATCATTACTCTATTGGTTTGTTCATTGTTTTTCATATGTAAGGTCTTGTGTTCAAGTCTTTTATTGCAAAAAAAATCAAAAATATAATAGATCTAAAATTAAAAGTTAAAAACTAAGAAAATGACACTAACAATATTCGAACTCGAGTCTAGAGTGGAAGAAAAGTCTTGCAAACCAACTCTACCAAGGAAAACTTGTGGTCTCATTGTAGTTTCAAAATATACACGGTGACACACAATAAATTAATACGCTGGCACTTCTCACAACCCTAGAATTTTTTTCAGTACGATGGATGAACAATACGGTGGCATGGGCCACTGTATGCTCTACATTGGGTCCGCCCATGCCAATAACTTCGGATCCAACTTAAAACCATGGTGGAAGTTATTAGTAGCCCGCGACTTGAGGCTTATAAGGAGCTCACAAATCCTATCTTTTATCCATTTGGGATGACCGGATGAGTTGTTACAAAAAACAATTAATTTGCCGAAGGACAAACCACAATGTTATAACATGCATGATGGTCATTTGGCACCTATAAATTACATGGCATGGGAATGACTAATAATTTCCTTTTCGCTCACATTTTTGCACAAGTAGAGGGTCTTCATGAAAACAACTACTCTACTCTTTGGAGCAGATGTTATGTTTGTGTACATCCCATCCTCCAGACTTACTTTCAAGTGGGAGATACGGAGTTCGTTTGGTTTGGTTTTTTTGGGATGACTAATAAGTACCTAGAGCAAAACACCCTCTATTCCCATTTCAACCATGTCCCTCCAGCTGTTTCATTTACACAACTAGATTCAATGATTATTTTGATCTTTATATGACATACAAAAACCAAGCCTTTTAGGACTTTTGTCATGCCGACTCCATGCAATTTTAGTCCTTCTAATCATTCTAGGATGTGTTGCTTAGTAGTCTCGTCGTTTACATGGAAAACATGCAAACTTTCATGATTTTAACAATTTAGGTAATATGAAGTTGAAAGCGTCAAACATTGCTTCTTTATGATTGGGAACATATCATGAATGGCTTACAATTAATTTGGAGCAACTTCAACCAACCTGATCTTAATTACAAACATCAAAGCATATGCTTCCACACAAACCGGAGTCTTCACTAAAATATAGCCGCTCTGACAGGTTTTCGTACATCCCACCCTCAGACTCCCCCTCATGGTGGAATCCACCCTCAAATGCCCCCTCATGGATCCCACCTCGAACACCCCCTCATTAGTAATGGTGGGTCCCACCTCAGACGCCCCCTTAAGGTCATGGTGAAGTTCTACCTCAGACTCCTCCTCATGGTCATGGTAGGATCCCACCTCAGACCCCCCCTATGGTTGGATACCATCCCAAAACACCACCTCTAGGTGAGATCCCACCAGAAACTCCACCTCCAGTGAGATATACGGGGATTGTATGCTTCCAAACATGACTTCCGATTTTGTTTTTCAGAAGCGCTTAGAGATTCAAATACGGATTCCGATACCTCGCCTCTTTGCAATTAAATTATTCAAATTCTAAAAAAACAGATTGCAAGGTCCCCTTCTTAATCAACCATCGTCATGCTAGGGCACCAACATATTCAATACTCTAACAACTAATCATACGAAAATTAACAATCAACTGATTAGACTAGTTTGTTGCCACAAATAAACAGTATCAATCATAATAATCAAATTAAAATAACCAAAAAAATTCCGTAAACACAAATCACCAGAATCGAGAATCGGGATACACGGAAACAATGAAACTCCAACTTGAAATCAATCAACACCAAATAGAAAACAATTAAACTTGAAGAAAAATTAAACCCAGAAAAATAAATCAAAGGCTTACATGTCTAGAAGATGAGATTGAAGGAGAAGCATGAGCGATTAGGTGTCTGCGAGTAATAATGGCTCGAAGCAATTTGCTGCTAATAGACATCTCCTCTGCGATTCTTGAGCCGTAGACACCACCTCCATTTTCGTAAATTTATGGTTTATCATTTGTCAAACTCGGCAAACTTGTTCTTATCTTTTCAATTGGTGGGATTATAAATTAAAACCTAATTATTGTGCTCTAAAATTTGATAACTAGAAAGATGTATGTGAATATTTCATTTAGGATTGAACAAAAATCGAAATATATACCAAATCGTATTAAATTAGGGTTTTATCCCGTTTATTAAACGCTTATCCGGTAAGTAATTACTGGGTAATTTTTCTTACCGGATGAACATGGCAAGGACCAAAAATCTTACACGGTAAGAGCGATAATAATGATGGAAAGTCTTACCCGGTAAGTGAGGGTGACGACTCTTACCCGGATAATCGTTTACCAGGTAAATTGTTGTATAAGATACGTTTTGATATACCATAATCATACCCAATAAAATAAATTATAGTGTTGACTCCTAACGTTAAGCACTTACCGGGTAAGTATTTAGGTAAACGACCCCTAAATGTTTATCATGTAAGCGTTTATATGGTGTTAATTACTTTATTGACTGATCACAGACGGATCTACGAGGCGCGGAGTGCGGTTTTGTGCATCCGCTCAAACGACCTTTGCAAGTAAATTAAAGATGTACTCAATAAACTTTTAGGTATTGTTTGACAAAAATGAGCTAGTTTGATTTATGGGTACATGTTTGGATGCATATAAATTTATACTGTACTAGAAGCGTACTCACGCAATGCAGCGAGATACATCGTGATTTTAATATTTCATTTTATTCTTTATCTCAGTCGATGTTATAATATGGCTTTATGTGATTTGAGAAAACGATGATGTTTTTATTTTTGAGTAAAATATATGTTTGACGATATCATATGAAAATTTGACAAAAATATATCGATATTAGTATCAAATTAACTATTTGAAATTCCTCATTTTTTGTGTAATTTTTTAATCCAATTTTTTTATAATTTAATTATGTACAATAACGAAGTAATTTATATTTGGTTTAATAATATAATTTTTTATAAAGATAATAATTATTTATTTTGTTGGAACTC